TAATAAAGCTTTTTTTCCTAAATTTTTACTAATAAGACTTTAAATGCTTTTATAATATTATAATATTTTTTATAACAATAATTTTGTTTTTAATAATTTTGAATTTTGAATTAGATTTTAATATTGATATCTTAAAAAACTATAAAAGTTCAATAAAATAATCTTTAAAATAATTATTTATTTATTGAATATTCCTTTGAGATTTAATAAAAATTTTTTACTTAAATATATAAGTAATACTTTATCTTTTAATCTTTGAATAATATCTAGATTTTATAATTAAAATATATACTTTGAAAAATATATTTTCTAGAATTCTAAATTGAAAATACCCTTTCTTTTTGAAACATAGATTATAACTGCTTAATAAGTAAATTATGTATAAAAATGTTGAATTCTACATCATACTTATAAATATATAAGCCCTAAATCAGACACAATTGATTTTGCAATCCAATGGCAGTTCTCTTACAGAAAGTATCTTGCATCAATTAATGTTATCTAGTATGCTCACAATTCTATAAGCAAATAATTTGAAAGCAAGCTTTATCTACATTTGGTAAATTTTTTTATGGTCAAAGATACCATAATTTTTTTGGTGTTGAATTACAATTGAAATATAAAATTTTGATTTAAATTGGTTTAATGAGTCATGTGCGCAAATTTAGCTTAGGAAACAAATTTACAGATTTCCTACAAAATCGTTCTGTACTGACCAAAACAATTTGTACCTATAGGTTTTCTTTAAATTGGAGCATAAAAATACAAGATCAATTGAAATACTTTATTCAAAAAACTCATTTACTGAAGTTTCGTAGCAGTGGACTCTACCAATGATTAGCATCAACAAATTTGGCATTCGTAGAATACACGTTATATGGGTTTATATTCTTGAGTACACTCTAATTTTAAATTTTTACAGCTTCTCCCTTCTTTCTTTCATTATATACATGTATTACGAAATAAGGATGTTCTGGAAAAGTAAGTCGGAAGAATTTAATTTCGAAGTAATTGAATCAGAACACTTTTTACAAATTCCTTAGGATGTAAATATGACTTATCAAATAACAAGCGATATAAATCCAGAGATTTGTTCACGAACTACCCACACAACTGTAAAATTACTTAATGTGGCGGTCTTTAGTAAAACATAAATTTCATACGATTTACAGTATGTCAATTGTAGTGATATAAATAAACGAAAATTTGCTTTGCATATATATTATTAAAAATCAAACTTGAACTTCTATTAATAATTCCTTTTTAAAGTAAACAATGAATTAACAAAAATAAAGAAATGATCGCAGTGGCTGATAAATGAAGGTTCAAGTAAATCTAAATAAATAAATCCAATTATTTATATACCTTGATTCTTTAAATTCTTTTTTTTAAAAATCATAGTAAATGTCAATCAAAAGAGGTTCTTACGCAACTGATTTATTTAGTACTTCAACTTCATCTTTTTTCCTTTCATTAGATTTGCTATTATCATCAGCTTTCATACTTTTTTGTTTAAGTTTCTTATGTATGGAATATAATGTCAAACATTGGCTTAAAAATACATCTTCGACAAATATTGAAAAACTTACCATTTCGAATAATATATTCATTATTTTAGTGAATTTTTCTATTCTAGTATCTTCGTCTTGCTTTTCATTGATGCTTCTCAATACATTTAGATATAATTCGTCTTTGGAAATTGCCATTTGCACAATTCGCTTTAACTCCTTTTCCGAAGATTCTAATTGATTCATTATGTCTAAAGTAAAATCCGTCAATTCGTCAAGTTTCGAATCTATTAACACACTTTTTTCTTTCGCTGTTGAGACCAATCTCTTTGTAAGTTCAGAATCAAATTGTTTTCTTATTTCCAACAACTTATTGTATTCATCTTGGACATCTTGAACACCTATTAACAATACAAAAAGAAAAAATTGAGCCATTCTTAATCATTATAATAACCATCAAATAAAGCTCACCTAGGCATATAACCACCTCCAAGGATAGAGTTGATATCCGTTGTAACGTTTCATCATTCCATCTTCCGTATTGTTGGGTGATTGCATGTGCGTTCTGATCCCTTGCTTCAATTTTGAAAGATTTAAATAGTTCGGATGGATTTAATCTGTATCGACCATGAAATAATGGTTGGCCGGATTTACCATTTTTAAACAAGCTAATGTTTGATGTTAAAAATGTTAGGAGACCTCCCAAGTCAATTTTCGAAGGATAGTTCAGATGCCGATGGTAGCATGTCTTCATAAACTTTTCTATAGTTTCAGAAGGTATATACTTTTCGTGTTTCTTGATGTATTTACTAAGCGCTTTCTCAACATATCCAAGTATCGGCTCTACGTACGCACCTTGTTCTGATTCTGAAAATGAAAATCTCTGTGGAATTTGTGGCTGATGGTATTTTTCTTTTTCAGAAACTTTTTCCTGATCTAGCTCCAGATCTCTTCTCTTTTCTATTTTCAGACCTATTTCCTGTTTCTCTGGTTCTTCCACTTTCAGAGTTTCATTCTTTTTTATTTCCTGAACATCTACCACATTTCTACTTGCTTGCATCTTTTTCTTAAATTCATGATCTGAAAGGCCACTAATCGCTTGTTGTATAATACTAGAAAAAAATATTGCTTTTTTAAAATTATAATAGAATTGATTTTCGGTAATTAAATTCTTCTCGTTTATTTTCTTAATCTCATCACCATTAAGCCATGAATTTAATGGCTTGTATTCTTCTCGCAGTGCTTTATCATTTTTCAATATACCTTTCAAGGATGTCTGCAACGCATTTATTTTTTGTTCACTTGTGACATTTGTCTTTTTTATGGGAGGACCCAATAACAGTAACGCCTTAATTGTTTCGTCTAAACTACCTCTAATACCGATATTGAGGTTATTCTTCATCCACTTAGAAAGTTTAGTCATCGTGAAGGTGAATAAATTTTTTCAACACGTATTCCAACTGAATATTAATATTCGAAAAATAAATTACTGCTAACCAATAATTTTCTTACCGCCACAAAAATCTTACCCTGCCAACAGAATTTCACTTTCACGTGATCATAATAAAATATTTGTCACCCCGCGTCACCCCGCTCAACTTTTCATTTATTTTTACTATGTATTCTGGGAACTTAGAATTTTTTCGGTAGTGAAATACTATTTGTCACGCCATTATTTGTCACCGCAAATCTGGCATTATCACATATGATTGCATAATGCAAGCCAAAATGTCACGTGAAAGTGAAATTTTGTTGGGGATGCTGACAAAATTTCATATCACGTGACTTTTAATGTTGATTTAAACAGCCCTAGCGTCGCCACCAAAAAATGGTAGCCGGATTTTATTTGCCGGGTCACATATACTTATTAGAGTGACAAATAATTGTGACAATTGTGACAATTAGCATTTTCCTCTCAAAATAATTTCCAAGTCCCCAGAATACTTAGT